GCTTTCAGTTTCGCTTTAAATTCATTCAAATATGGTTAACACCCGGTCATGCATGAAAAAAAAGTACCATCATGTACCGTGAAACCGGTATAATTTTGAAAAATACCGTGATATACATTTTTGGTCATACCGCCCAGCACTACTCAAATGAAAATATGTATAGGAAAGTATCGCATGAAAGTGCACAGCAAGAAACACACAACGATATGGTCAGAAAGTGCTATGTAGTTGTAGTTCTGTAAAGTGGATCACCCCAGTGTAAACCGTCACATGAATGTGTGTGTGCTTTTGTATTTGTGAGTCATACTTCAGGTCATGACTGTACTGGGCCATGTGAGAAGCCTTGAATCCAGATTCATCCTTTACTCTGTCTGTAAACACCAGTTTCATCATGCAACTTGAAACGGCACACAATATGGCAAACGCTGTGCTATATTTAAAACAATAGCTCTTTAGCACCCTTGTTCTCTCTTGTAATGGGTTATATGAGGAGCAGTATGCTTAGCTGTTAAGGTCATAATCATAAGCGTCGCATTAAATATCGCATGCGATTTATCGTGCAGCCCTATTTATTATGAATTCATTTATTTAAAAATACATTAAAATGCATTTCATAAAATGCTATTTTTTTCAGGGGCATAAGGCAGTTAGAAATGTCAGGGTGATACAACCGTCCTGATATAATGAAGAAAAAAAACCTTTATTAAAAGAAATGAAACCCTTATTCAATAGTTTTTTTATTATTTCTTAAAGTTTATATAACACAGCCTCTCTGTTTAAAGACTAATAAGAACTTCAGATCATTTGACCTAATGACAAGTTGACAAGTATGTATATATAGTATATTCTATTCAAGGTGTAAAAGTATTATTATTATTTCATTTGATGGTTACACCACATGAATGTTTTAGAGAAAACAATTGAACTTGTTAAAGATTAAAGTTTCTAAAAATATGAAAGTGTATGCACAGTGTAAATTTCTAAGAACTTGGCAAGTGTGATGAAAAAGACAGCCTTATGTGCCACTGATCCATTTGCAATCAAGTTCAAATTCTCTGTCATCTCTTTAGAAACAGCAGTAAAATCCTCCGTATCCCAGTCCCTGTAAGGAGCTTTGTACATACATGTTTGTATGTATTTGTGAATCCTTTGCTCCTCCAGTGCTGTAATTGCAGTAATGGGTTTGCAGTGAGCTCGTGCGAGAGACGAGTGCAGTGCTTGCACCGATGTTTCCAGATGAATAACTGGGTCAGTTTAAAGACGATGCCTCTTATCGTCTCAGTTCATCAGGAGTGCTCAAATGCTCAGCTTTTCAGCAACCAGCCACAGTAAAAACTCACTATTCAGATGCAAGGAAATGAGTGTTTGTCTTTTGTGGGTTTATTTAGGACTGTAGCTGAATTCTGTGAATTCATCCATTCAAATGGCCTTCTCTCAAAACAAGTGATTTTTCTGTTATTTCTAGTACATTTCCGTTTCCTGTTTCATGTGTGAAGATTTTTAGTGTTAATGTCACCTACCTGCTGTAAGTACTCTGGATTAGGTCAGTGTGAACACACCCACAGAACAAGCACACTGTGCCGTCTCGTGGAAGAAGGCAACTATGTAAGCAACTATGTCAAATGGGAGACATCCAATATCAAAACTGCATTAACGTGCTCTACCAGCATCTTTGATCAAAAGCAGCTCTTCTGAAGAATGTTGGAGTGTCTAGTATCTCTTGCAGTGGGGGAGGAGTGATGCTTTCTATGGTCTGCTTATCTTGAGCCGCACAGCTCCTCTTCCTCCAGCTGCTACTCACTGGAACTCGCTATCACCCAGACAAAGAGCTCCAATTAAAAATGCATCAAGGTGTTTTCTCACTAGACAATGTGGGATATCAATCCAAATGCAGGCTCCATGAAAATAATCAGCCTCTGTTCATCAATAATGGATGCAGTGATCCGGCTTCTACGAGAGGTTTTGTATTTTGCTTAGACAGGATAATGTTAAGCTAAGCCAACTGCTTTATGAACTTCAAAAGAAGGCCTGTGTAAAGCATTATGAGTATTGTTGGTGGTCACAGAAACAGAATGGCTCACCAACTGCTTTAGGTCTATGTTCATTCTGTAACAGAGCTGAAGACTACATCCTGTTAACAAATGTTATAGCTCCTTACAGGGACCTGGAGTTTTTTTTTTTTTTGAGATTAATAAATTACATATAGTGCTGATTTATTTAGTGCTGACGGTTTTATGTGTTTAGTTTGTACTGTAAGATTTCAGTACACACTCATTCATTCATTTATTTATTTATTTGGTTTTTGGTGGTTCAGACTACACGTTTCAACCTGAACATTCTTCGTTTGCCATCTTTAACGACGTGCGTGCTTGTCATCGATAGTGCGGGACTAGAGAGATGTTGACATGAGTGTAAACAAACAATGGCTAGCAAACAGCGTGTTCTGCCCTGTCTTGTCGTCAGAAAAGACAGGGACACAAATCTGGATTGCATGAAGAGGACTTTCAAAGAGAACTGAGGTAAAATAGTTTTTAACTGACCTTTTCTACTCTGTCGCGGTAATCCCTCGAGAAAACATCATAAATGCAGGAGTATTGTAGCCATAGCTCCACGGACATTTCCTCCATTGTAAAATGACACCGATACCGTTGTCGCTCTTTAGTTTTGGCATGTTTGAAAGTATGTACGAAGGCACTTCTCTGCTCATATTGGCCTGTGTCTGTGACGGAGCTGTGATGGAACTCGTCGTGGACTACGGGAAAAAAAATTAAACATGCTACACTTTCTGTGTTGACGTCGCGAAGCGTCGCAGACATGGCATCGGTTGTCGTGCACTATGACACACTACACGAGATGAAACGATTGAATCTTGCGTCCCGACGCCCATTGTCGTATACGAATCCCCACGACACCCTACGTCAAGCAAATCATGCTAAAATCGTGTAGTCTGAACGGAGCTTTAGTGGTATGGTATGGTTTGGTTTAGTGTTTTATTCATCAGAGAATCCTGAAAAAAAAGAGTAAAATATATCAAAGAAGATTAAAATATAACCATAAGAGACTTCCTTAAAAAAAAATTATACTCTTTTCATCCCCAAACTTTTGAGCGGTAGTATATGTACGTATACAGACGTGACACTTTGAGCATTTTGCAAGATCAGATGAGCCCACTGACTTTTTTAAAGTATGTAATCAATTTTAAATATGATTTTGAAAATGCGTTCGATTTCGAAAATATATAGTTTTGTACATCCATAATAGTAAAATCTAAGACACAAAACTGTGCACTGCACAGCATCCATACAGAAAAACTACTAATACTAATTGCTGTCTTCATGTGTAAGGATGGCACTTAATAAATTTTGTTAGGTAATGTTTTAATAAAAATTTGTCATTAATATCATATCCTTTTGCGAACTTATTTCTTAATTATATTTAGCCATGTTGTCCATTGAAATTAATACTAAATAACAGGAAAGGGTTAGGGTTAACTTTTTTGTAAAAGTTTTGGATTTCACTATTGGGAGCTAAAATCATAGCCATTATGTAATGACAGCTAAGTTAAGAAAAAATAAATATTATTCATTTTTGATATGGGAAAAACTATAATAGTGATTTGCCTTAGTGATTTGAACATCACACGTAACATGATCCATGTTTGGCCTAATTATTTTGTGCACAAGCACACAATGAATCATTGTGCCTAATAATACTGAAAAAAGCTAATCGCTCGAGCAGAACTCGTCTGTGTGTAGAATTACTTCTCAAATAGACCCCTGCCTTTGACCTCATGAGGTGAGCCAGTATAGTTCTCCACTGTTGGATACACAAACAGCCTGTCTGGCAGCTGCAGTTTCCAGTCTTTAATGTTTGAGATGTCCACTCTCCGGCCAATAGCCCTTTCAACCTTAAGGGTCAAGAAGCTCCAATCACCTTATACCACACAAAAAGAGACTTTTCCATTCACCTCGAAACTCAACCTCGGCCAGTGACAGGCCTTGTTCCATTTCCAGTTTTAGAGTGCCTAGAGTGTTCTTTCACATGCTTTTCAGGACAGGTTTGATCATCAGTGCTTTATTTAAGCGGTAAGTAGTGGTCGACCGATATGGGTTTTTTGACTGCCGATGCCGATATTTTGGAATGCAGGGTATATAAAGCCGATATAATTTTATTTATTTTAATTAATATTTAAGAAATTTGAAATCAATTGAAAATGGATTAAAAATAATTGTGTAAAATAAACATACTTTTCACAAGCATTTTTCACAAATAAATATTTAATAAAAATCTAATTGAAAAGGAAGTAAACACTGTAACCAACAGGGCACTCAGTATTCTGGGAAGTTTGTGTGCATTGGTTTCAAATAAAGCCAATGAAAATGACATGAATATGACAGTGGCAAATGCATAAAGCGCAGCATAATTTGAAATCATGAGTTTAAAGTTAGTCGATCGCGCGTCTCCAGTGAAGCTGAACTCTCCTCCTGTCAGCATTCAATTCGCAAGGACCGACCGTCACGCAGAGCACACGCGATGATGCAGGATACAAATGCACACTTCATAAGATCTCAACTAGATTCGACTAAGTCTGCAAGGTTTGTGAAATTAAATGTTCATTAGTCCATTAGTTCATTAGTATACATTTTAATTCCTTTGTTTAACAGTTCTATCTGATTATTAGATAGACCTATCCATATTAGACAGAACTGTTAACGACGACAGCGAACAAGAGGGAGAATGTGAGCGGTGTTCTGAAGAGGGGGGTTAAAAGCATGACCATGAAAATAACCTATTACTTCTAAATTATTGTGTTTTTTTCTGATGTAAAAATCTTGATAACATTATAAAGGGACCTCAGAGTACAAAATAATAAAAAAGGCAGTTCATGACCACCATTAATAATTTTCCACAACTTTCTTAGGCCTGAAAAACACCATTTTTAAATTCACTGATATTTCCTGGTTTTCAAGAGCCATGGGAACCCTGGTGTGTGTACCTGGCTCTGCAGCTGACTCTGGCTCTCCTCCAGCTGTGCGATGCGTAACGTGCTCTCCTGCAACATGGTGTGCTGGTTCTGGATAGAGTGCTGCAGCTGCAGGTTCTCCTCACTGGAGCTTTGATAAGCCACACATTTCCTCTTCAGCTCTTCCTGCAGCTGTGACAGCTGATAAACATGCTACACAGAGTCATACATTAGGCAACAGGAGCTACTAACTGTCATTCAAATAATGTTCCCCAGGAAGAGGAAGTGCCTAGCCCTAGTGACCGACCTCACTGTTCATCAGCTCCAGTTGTCTATCATGATGTTTCTTTACCTCCTCCATCTGCTGGAGGTAATGACTCAGCTCCTCTTTACAGGAGGACAGTTCGGTCTGCAGGTTCCTAACCTAGAAAGAAACAAAACAGAAATTACAACCATGTCCTAACCAAGTATAGTGCAATAAAGTAATAAATCTCATGAGTTTTTGTCCTATATCTCAACAGCTAAATAATAATCAGTGTATGCACTTACTGGCTACACTACTTTCTGCTTTGAGGACTGAATGATTACTTGACACTAGAAACAGGATTGGGCAACCCTACTCCACAATAAGGTCCCATTAGTTAACATTCCTTAATGAATATGTTAACAATGAGCAATACATTTGCTACAGTATTTATTTAAAATTAGTTAATTAATAAAAATACAACTGTTCATTGTTAATTCATGTTTATTTGGTGCCATTGAATAATATTAACAGATACAACTTTTAATAATGTGTTAGCAAATGTTGACATATATCCACCTTTTTCCTGAATGCGGAAGTTTCACCTGACTGGAACTGCTTTACGTGGTGTACGTTTTTATGTGGTGTTTCTAGTCAAATTAACATTTTCCGAGCTAATAATATAATGTTAAACCTATGAAAATGGTTTTAAAAAGCACATGGCGCCATAGTTTTAAACACTTCACAGTGTCACCGTCTTTTTGTAGTAACTCACCTGTCATAGTTTAATGTGTGGATAGATGACATGAAGCAGCCCAATGTAAGCTGCATTGAAAACAGATGAGGGCACATATAGTTCGTGGGCTTTTGTCAACAAACTGATAAGAGCACACATTATTTTAACACAGTTTCAATTTAATTAAGTCAATCTTTTCTACCCTGTTTTAACATGGATTTCTATGGAGACCGGAACACGAAAGCACCCAAATGGAAGTTAGAATCCATCATGGCGGCACTCATCGGTTACTCAGGAAAAAGGTGGATATAATCAAGATGTAAACTGAGACTTTTTTTTTTACCTCAATAACTATGAATCATGGTTAGGTAATTTTAAATATCAACACTGCCAGGTTCTGTTAATAAAAATGTAGCTTTGTAATAATCACAGCAGAAATAAGGAAATATCTTTGAATATCGTGTTGGACAATGGGGGTGTGACAATGGGTGAGACAAAAAGGGTGATAACCATTGCTTTAGACAAAGAAATGCAATGCCATACTCTCCTGTTCTGTTCAGTGCTGAGTAGACAAATAAAGTAAAAAACAGTTAGTCAGTCTCACCACTGAAGCAGAGTCAGCAGCTTGTTCTTCAACATTTCTAAGTGCCTCTTCACTGCTTTTAGATTTTGCCTCAAAATCCTGTCCAAGGAACGAAGACATACTCCGTGAGAGATTTACACAAACTCACATCACTCACAGTTAACGTGTTGCAGTGCAGTCCAAAAGTCTGAGTAAAGTAAAACATTTTGTATTGAATAATTTATTACATTTTTTCTTTCATTAGAAATTAATGTAAAGTGTAAACCCTGCAAACAGCATCTTGTGCTTGAATGGAAGCAAGAACATCTGAATGTCTACAGACATTCACATGATCAATATCACACATTTCATTTGATTACTGACCAAGCAATAGTCAAATTTCCTCTTACTTTAAAGGTATGGTGGGCCAGTGGTTTTTTAAACTCTGGGTTGAGAATGAAAAATGAAACTTTTATAACGAAACAAACACATAAACAACAAAACGAAAGTACTCTGCAGCCACCTCACAGCAGACTCCAATGTGTATTTGTGTTTACGCCCTGGAGAGCATCAAAGGTTTGTATTTACGTGTTTTTGCAGCATTGAACATTTTAGCCAATCACAGATATATCTGTTGATTTGAGGAACACAATG